TGAGGAAAGAGAGAAAGGAAGAAACTTCTTGTGAACCGAGGCCTTCACACATACATGTGTTGACAAGCACACCTGTATACCTTTGCACACATATACATACTACAAACATACATACACATACACACACACAGAAAATATTTTGTCACAATCTTCATTTCTGTTTTGACTGTGATATAGTATTATTCATTGTATATTTTTATGTAGTTAAATATACATATAATTTACATACAGTAAAATGTATCATTTTGGCTCAAAGTTTTGGACAATGTGTTTGTCTTTGTACATACTACCACAAGCAGGATATCAAGTAGGTTTGTTTTTAAAGGTTGCTTTATCAAATCCTTTGTTGTACAGCTACTGATACTGTGATGTCTGTCTGCTTTAAGACAGTACATAGCATACACCTAAACACTGTGGAGATGAGAAATAGCCACATTATGGCATAGGGTTTATAACAATGCTGTGATGCCTTCTTTCATAGGTAGAGAATAAAGTGCTGAGCATTATTTTAAAATGCTATTAGATCTTTATATGGCTTGAAATTTTAAAGTTACTTCCTGAAAATAGACTGCTAAAATTAGCTTTTTTGAAGGACTTGAGAATGTTATGATTTGGTTTTCTATCTTTAGCACTTTTAGCCTTCACTTTCTTCCAGAACATTTAAAGAGTTTTAGGGAATTGGTTGCCCTCATTACATAGTATTATGGGAATTATGACATAGAGCTTTTTGGAAAAGATGGTCTCTTCCTTTTTTACTTATTGGTAACTAAATAGCATAGAAGATCGAATTTTATCTTAAAGCAAAATCAGGAACACAGCTTAAATATTTTTTTAATGCATGCAATTTTGGGTTGATGATGTCATTTAGTTGTTAGGGTGCTCATCTAGGTCAGCAGTCCTAGCATGCGGGAGGTAATGGCAAGAGGAACAAAAGTTCAAGGTCATCCTCAGCTGTGTTGCAAATTCCTGGCCAGCATAGATTGTGCAAGGCCTTGTGTTTCCCTCAAAACAACAAAGCAAGAGAAAGTTATGTCTTTCTTACAGAAGAAAATTCTCATGGGAATTTTATTTCCTCCTCCATAAATACTTTCCTGTTCTTTTTTTCTTCATCTACTTGTGGGGATCAGGGACTACCCACAGTGTACACACAGTGGCATGGGTGCTTTGTTTGGTACAGAATGTTAGAAAGCCCAGTATGTATAGGTAGATTTAGTGAGATATAATTTATTTCCTACAGTGTCCCCAAGCAGACACAATTCAGAGAGCTTTTAGCTCATTCATACAGTTGTGCAGCCATCAGTACAGTCATCTTTGGAAAAAAATGTTCGAAAGTGAGCCCAATACTCACCAGCATCTTTCCTGGTTCCCCGCCCCCTCTCATCTGTAGGCCAATGTGCTGCTCTGCTTCTGTCTCATTAGATTTCACTGCCTTGACTGTTTGGTGTCATAAGATGAGGTAATTTCTTTTATTTAAGTTTCTAGTGTTTATGTTGCAGCATCTATCCTGATATCTTTATATCAGGATAATATAATAATATCAGCTCTGATAAGAGCTCCATCTTCTTGGATTGCTGCATAGTATTCCACTAAATGACTCACTGGTGAGATTTGGAAGTTTCTCATACACTCTAGATACTGGTCTCTTGTTGGATATGTGATTTAAAAAAATTTCTCTGGACTGTGCCTTGCCTTTTTTTCCTCTTAATAGGGTTTTTGCAGAGTAAAAGTTATTTTAATCCTGATGAGGACCACCTAATCAATATTTCTTTGCATGGATTATGTTTTAATGTCAAGTCTAACATTAGAATTCAATAATTTTTTAATTTAAAAATTCTAATTGTTTTACATTTTATATTTAAGCCCATAATTCATTTGGAGTTGATTTGGTAAAAGATATGTATTTGAGTTGGGTTGTACTTTCCTCCTGATGATTCATACGTAAGAACTTTATCTTCAGTGTGGCAATACTGAGAGGCGGTGGAGCATCTCAAAGGTAGAGCTCAGTGAGATTTGGTCACTTATTGGTGATATTCTCTGAAAGTGATTGGGGTAGTTCTTATGGGACTCCATGCTTGCTCTGTCTTCTTGTACAATCGTGTGATCTTTCTTTCCACACTCTTGCTATGACGATTCTGTATACCATTTAGCATGAGGTCCTCACCCAGTACATGCCAACACCAGGTTCTTGGTACCCCAGAAGACATATACACAGTGAAATTTTATTAAACTGGTAAGAAAATAAAATATGTAATTTTTAAAGAAATGAATAGATCTAGAAATTATATTAAGTGATAATAAATTTGACTAGATTGATAATGGCAACTACTACATATTCTCTTGTCATGTGGGGTGCCTAGCGTCTAATTTACAGCCCCCCTCCCTTTCTTTCTCTCTCTGGTTGAGAGCTTGTGATGTAATGACTTGGGGTTTCAGATAAGAAAACCTGCATTTCAGCTCTGGCTTTGGAACTTAGCAGTAGTGTTAGGTTGAGCAGTTTGTCTCTCTGCTTAAATAGGATGAATATAAATGGCTTTCCTATAAGCCTCAACATTCACTTTCATCAAATCCCTTTATTTCATAGGAAAGGAAAATACTAATCATCATTACTGTCCACATTGTGCTTTAATATTTTTATTCCATTTTCTCTGATCATTTTTAGAATTACTGTGTGTTAGCAAAGAATGAGATTTCAAAGGTTATATTTTAATTTGACTATATGAAAAGTGAGCTTTGATTTTTAAAAATTATTTGAACAATATGTCCTTTAGGAATGTATTTATCTTTTTCTTTCTATCCACTTCTCTTTGTGATTATTTCCCAAGTAGATTGTGTTGATTAAATAATTAGTACTTTTCTAATAAATCCTTCCTTCATGTTAAAATTGATCTTTTGAACCCAATAATAAATATATTGCAGTAGAGTGGTAATATCATCATTTTCTTTTCATTGGGGAACATTTGGAGATTATTATTCCCTTTTTCTGTCCCCTAGTACTTTACCTCCTTTGTGCCTCTCCAGCCTCCCACCCTCTAAAGCAAATGATGCTACTCTTATGGGGTGTTCTGTTTTCCGAATTCAGTCTTTAGGTCTTGTGATCACTTACTGATAATTCCACATTGACATCACTGATGGTGGGGAACGGATTAAGGCTTTTTTCTCTCTTGGTGTTTTTGGTAAGCTTGGGGAATTGTGTGCCACGCACCGCGCCCCCGTGTCTGCACTCTGTGCGCTGGCATCCAGTTCGCGAGCTTCGGGCAAGCAGGCTGGAGGTTAAAATACACAAACACAGACAGAGACAGCGACACGGGTCATCCTTGAATTCCCCAAGAATGCCCCCTTTATTGTGTTCAGGGGCAGATTATATAGAGATAGCCACGCCCCAGCCAAACCCACCAGAAACCACTCTCCTGCCATCAGGAACTCCTGAAGGTCTCGTGCTCAGAGCAGCTGTAGGCACTCAGATCAGGGGATTACAAGAAATTCAGGATCTGGGGTCTCACTGCTCCCAACAATTGTGTAGCTCAGTATACCTCAGAAGAAAAGAAACCCTTCGGTATATATAGCATTTAGTTTGTAAAACATTTGGATGGCTTCTGTTTAAACAAATATTAAATTACTTCTTTAAAAGGCGTGTTTTGAATTTCTACTTCTATAGTAGCTATGATGGACTGGTGATAATAATGTAAAAGCACTATGAAGCCTGTTGTTACTCATTGCCAACTTAGAAATAATATGGTAGATGCAAATTGACACCAGAATATTTTATCAGAAATGTAAAGATAGCTATGCAGGAAAATGACAATTGTTTGAATTATCAGAATGCAAACTTTTTTTGGTATGATAATTATGTTCCTCACTCCTAATTCTTTCACAGAGGGATATGTTTTTCTTTGGAGGCAGTACAATTCTCATAGCACAGCTCCTTCAATTGTGCTCACCTTCCTGCCAGCTCCACGTTATGAATACACTCCCATAGTACTTTTTTTCCACCTGAGTGCTGTACAATTCTGTTTATAATATAAATATAGCAAAAGTCTTGACGATAAGATGACATAAGTGATATGGTGATACAATAGCATAAGATAAGTTAGCATAAGTATAGCCAAAGTCTTGGTGAACCTAGATGCCCTTCAATGGAAGAATGGATAAAGAAAGTGTGGAATATATACATATTAGAGTACTACTCAGCGGTTAAAAACAATGACATCGTGAATTTTGTATGCAAATGGATGGAAATAGAAAACACTATCCTGAGTGAGGTATCCCAGACCCAAAAAGATGAACATGGGATGTACTCACTCATAATTGGTTTCTAGCCATAAATAAAGGACATTGAGCATATAATTTGTGATCCTAGAGAAGCTAAATAAGAAGGTGAACACAAAGAAAAACATATAGTAATCCGCCTGGATATGGGAAGTAGACAAGATTGCCGGGCAAAAACTGGGAACTTGGGGGTGAGGTAGCATGGGGCTAAGGGGAAATGGGATGAGAAACGTGAGAAGGGGAGGATGAAGGGAGCTTGGGGGGAGCTTGGGGGAAGGGGATGGTTGGGATAAAGGAAGGGTGGATACGGGATCAGAGAAATATATATCCTAATTAAGGGAGCCATCTTAGGGTTGGCAAGAGACTTGACTCTAAAGGGGCTCGCAGGTGTCCAGGGAGATGTCCCCAGATGGTACCTTGAGCAACTGAGGAGAGGGAACTGAAATAATCCTATCCTATAGCCATACTGATGAATATCTTGCAAATTAATCAAAAAATATAATTTACATCACCATTTGGGGGCTGATTTTCTCAGTTGTTGGTTGAAACTTAAATACAGGATATACCCACGTACATCCTTCCATACAAATAATAAAACAAAGATGAGTGCTTTAGTCATTTATCTCTGTGCTCTACTTTGTCAGACTATCTTTGGAGTAAACAGCAGCTTTACAAGTTTTGCTCTGTTTCTGTCATTCTGTAAAGTGAAATCTTGTCGCTCTTGCCTGTTTTAGCTGGAGTCACTACAGAAGCCATGCAGACTATGGCAGCAGCTCCAGATACCTCAGGACCGGAAGCCAAAGTCCAGGAAGAGGAGCATGACCTTGTGGATGATGACATCACTACTGGTAAGCACGGTTTACCATGTGCTTTGTTGGAGCTTTGGTTAGTATTTCATACTGTTGGCTAAGTCATGGACTGGGGCTGCATCTTTTGAGGGATGGCTGGAGACTCGAAGTGGAACTGTCGATTTGGTCCAGGATGACACATGTCACTGTGACAGTGAGCCTATGAGCTGTGACTTGATTTTGTGGAAAACCTTTTAATTGTGAAGCTAGAATCATTATTAAAGCCTTGGAACATGTAGAGGCACATACATGCCCATTAGGCTGTGAAAGCCTCTGCAATTACAAGATTGAATTCAAGGATAATTAAGTTGTAGTGGCAATATATATATATATATATATATATATATATATATATATTATAGACTGCATAAGAAAAAGTGCACACGTTCTTTATACTGCAGTCGAGGAAGTGAACTGAGTGCTGCTTTTAAAGCTATTAGCTGGGAGTGGGCATCGAATCTCTTACTTGTATTACCTGTCATGGAACCAGACACGCAGCAAGTTTTGCAAAGCTCAAATATGACGTATTTAGCCTGCCATTGTATCATTTTGATTAATTTTAATGGCTGAGTCTCTACATTCATTGTGCTCAATTTCTTTGAATGTACTGAGGATAAAATACTGAATAGTTTTATTGAGATTAAAGATTTTGTTATTGTTGTTTAGGACCAGACGGCTAAAAGTAGTTAAAAATGTGACCAAAATTTCTAATTTCTATGAAATGTGAATATTCACCAACAACTTTAAAAGAAGTATCACCAGAAAATAAGAACTCAATTTTTATGTTAGCTCTTTATTAATTCTTTGTGTGTCTCACGTCATGAATCCTGATCATCCTCCTCTCCATCCACTCGCCTCCTTCCTCTGCCCTTGTGACTTCCCCCACCAAAATAAAACAAAGTCTTGGCATGGAAGCTATAGTATGATCCAGTGAATCACACAGTATATACACCCTTTAGTCCACAAAGCTTTAAGAATAAAATTTTGGAGAGAAGAGAAAAAGGAAGGTGACTAGGAAAAAAAATTAGATCCATTAAAAACAGTTTTAAAAAAAGAATTCATGATGAGAAAACCATGATGAGCAAGCCAGAAAGCAGCATCCATCCAGCATTTCTTCATGGCTTCTACGCCAGCTTCTGCCTCCAGGTTCCTGCCTTGAGTTCTTATTCCAGCTTCCCTGGATGATGGACTGCAAGATGTGAGCTGAAGTAAACCCTTTTCTCTTCAAAGAAAAGAGTAAAAATTTTAACTAAAAATTAAAAATAGAGTTTTCTTTCTTAGCAGTGTAGCAAGTCTATTACTGTTACCATCTGAACGCCTTTCTTTGACTTCTTCCCACTGGGAAGAAGGTGAAAGAGCTCAATGATTTCTTTAGATAATTGCAAAACTTATGTCTAAGAACTGTACTCGTAGTAGGCAGTGACTTTGAATACATTTTTCCTAAGTAGGAGATGATGTGGTTTCGTTGTTACATTTTTTAATATAATAATTTTTACTTTTTGAAGTTATAATTGTAACATTTTCCCTTTTTGTCTTCCTTCCTTCGATTCTCCCACTTTCTCTCTTTCAAATTCATGGCCTCTTTTTCTCTGTTGTAACATATATACAAGCATGCATGTACACATATATATTCCTAAATATACAGCTATCACCTTCTCAGTCTGTATAATGTTACCTATGTGTATATAATCTTGGGTATCTTATACACTTGGAATGGATGACCAGCCTTTTGTTTGTTTGTTTGTTTGTTTTTTAACATGTAAGTTTTCTGGTGAGGATAGCATCTAATTTAAATATGTCTGCTTAGGGACCTCCACATTTTCTGAAGTCTTTTGCCATTTAACAGCTAGTACAATTTGTTTCAATAACTACTAAAACATATCTTTCCTTTGTAGACGTTTCTTAAGAAGATACATTTTAGCTCCTGTTTTTATTTTTTTTTAAACAGTGCTATGGATGTGTTTTATCTTAATTCCCTAGACAGGTAAAGACCTCTATAAAAAGTAGTTGTTTAATTTCTTGTAAAGGAGGGTCTGCCATTGCAGTAGTAAAACAGATCGGTGAACATTCAGAATAAAGATCATTGAGAGCACTCAAGTAAACATTAAGAAATTAATTGAAAATTTAGAGTATGCAATTACAAACACATGAGATTGTGTTATAGCTCACAATTGTGTCCTTTCAAGTTTAATGCCGTTTTAATGTAAGTCTCATTTGGAGAATTAATTCATTCTGCCTACCATGTATTTTAATCTGTTTAATTTGGCTAAATGTGTGTGACGAATGGCTTCTGTCAGTTGATTTATTCGCTTCATGCCATGGGTACTAGCAGCAAGATTGTTCAATATCCAAAGTCTTTAAATAACCAAAAAAAAAGCCTCCGTTAACATGTTGTCAGAGCAGTGAGCACGCTGCCGTCTCCTGATTGTTCAGGTTGCCTTTAGACTGTGCGGCTTGATTAAGCTGTGATATAGATTTTTGTGACAGTTTAGAAGAAAACCATATTTCTTTTTATTGACTAGAATCCTATATAAATTGCGTTATGGAAAATACGGTAGCTGCATCAAGAAAAACCCATTTTGAGCACGGTCTTATTTTGGGATGGGCAGTATTGTTGAGTCCCAGTACTGCAGAGTGGAAGAAAGGCTGCCAGCTTCGCCAGTACCTGTGGGGAAAATATGCAATTCATTTGTTTTGTTTATTTTAAGTCAATTGTTGATAATATCTCTTCATAAAATAACTAGAAATTATATCACGACAAAATGAGTTGGATTTATGTTAATGTAGATAGCTATTTAATTTTTATTTTTGTTGTTATCTGATACTTTTCTTAGAAGCAATTTGACCATTTACCAGTTGAAATACAAAATATAGTTTCCTGTTTTTGCTAAAGGAAGGATGATTGTTTCTGAAATGATAATTTTGGCAGAGAATGTCTGAGGGATGAGTGCTGTCTTAAGACATTTTAGCTGAATCCAGCTCCTTTTGTTGGTGGTTTCCTTGCAGACGTGAGGCAGCCAGGAGAAAGCCTCCTAAGTGTGGGCTTTGATCAATGGAACTAATTAAATGTATTTGAAATGAAGAGTACTTAATTGGAAGAGAACAGCTGGAAAAACTGGAAGGAAAAAAATTGAGTCCTGATTGAGACGATTTAAACCTTTACCATGTCATTTAAACAATATGCTGCTGCTATTTCTACCTTTCTTTTTCAACCTGATACCCATTGATCAGCGCTGCAGTGTGGTGCCGTGTGCGTGTGAACACCCCAGATTTACTTACCATCCTTTAATTATGTGCTTCAAGTTACATATCACATTTATTTTGGTAGGTCAGCATTTTATATAATAAATATTAAATCTTACTTTCTATGAGTTTCATGTCATATAGTATACATAGGAAATGTTCTTTCTCAAAGAATACCTCAGTGTTTCCAGTGTTCTGTTTATTTAAGATCTGAGATCTTTTTCCCCAATAATATAATATTAATATTATGTCCAGATTATTTACAATTTCTGGATTAAAATTGTTTTATGCCTGTATGTTTATTTTTGTTCATATACTTTTTCTTAGAATTATAACCTATGTATATATACTCTGTATATATTATGTAGATATACTATGTTATCAATATTGTTAATAATGTGTCTGTTTTGTTTATTAATTTATTATTCATATGAGCTTTGATCATGTTCATTTAGAGGACCTTATTCTCCTGGTGTCCTCCATTCCTTCTGTCTCTTAAGCTTTCTCCACCTCTTCTTCCATGGGGTTCCCTGAGCTCTGAGGGGAGGGATTTGATGGAGACAACCCATTCAGGGGTTCCAAAGTTTCTTGTTCTTTTTATAATGCTGGCTGTGGTCTCTGTATTTGGTTGCCATCTACTGCAGGAGGAGGCTTCTCTGGTGATGGCTGAGCAAGGCAGTCTAGAGAATATCTCTAGAAGTCATTTTATCACTATAGTTTTTTTTAAAGGTTGCATTATTATGATTTTATATGACATTATTGTACTAATAAGAGAGAGCTCATTAAAAACTGACCTCCATAGAAAAAAAATTTAGATGAAGCAGGATTGATTCTTGAGTATGCGTTCTGTGTGGCATCCTTTTCCTTTATCCTGTATCTTCATGGTAAAGCTGGCATTCTAAGTGAGAATGGGGTGATGAGTTGTTTAAAATTTCAAACTAAAAATATTTTAGAAGGGCTTTGTTAATAACCTACATGTATCCCTTTAAGGAAATTGCTGTATTTGTCTTTAATGTCTTCTCTCTTATTTAATAAAACCAGAACACAATTGAACATTTAATAGTGAGAAAGTGTCAAAAGTCACCAACGTTGTCAGGTAAGATTGTTCACAGGTTCAGCTGCTCAAAATGGAAGCAAGCATCTGTGAGAAACACATTGGAATGGGCCTATTAACTTTGTACATTTTAGGGGGTTTTTTTTGTAAAATTATAACTGACTGCTATTAGTTCCCACCTCAGAGACAAGTATCTCCCTCCCCATTACTGACGTGCAAGTGCTGCTTGCATGGTTTTCTATTGCTGTAAATCTAGTGCTGTGAGCACCTGTCTGTGCCTACCTCTCCATCTCAGTTGCATTTTTAACTATATATTTTAGGCCTAATTATTTACTAATGTTTGTTTTACTTAGTTTGTATATCTGGGAGGAAATCCATTTTTGTTAAAGTAATGTATATTTCTATAAATTTGCATATATGCCATTTTAATTATTGAATCAAAGTCCTTTTTCTTGGTATGACATCAGAGATTTTTATTTTACCTTTTTCTTTAAAAAAAAAAACCCAGTCATTTCTTTATGACAGACTTAAGTAATTAATACCTGGTGTCATACAGCCTTATGTGTTGATTTGGGTAGAAGAGTCTCTTTATGATTTCATAAAAAGACCTAGCAATGATTAAAGGTAGTATTTCTATATATGCTCTATTTTGAATAATCTCTGGCAGTCTTATTAATTTAGTGTATATGACTTTGGTTCACAC